CATATCATCATCACCATCATCCCCATCACCATCAACGTCACCATCATTGCCATCACCATCAGCATCACCACCACCATCATCATTATCCCATAACCAGGGTGAAGACTCATTGCTTTCCACAGTCTCTTTCTATCCCTCCCTTTTACCAAGGGCATAGCCACCTTCTAAGGTCCCAGATTAGTGCAGAGGTCTCAGTTTTTGATACTCCCCCTTCATGAGGGCCTCTTATTTTTCTCCTAATTATTAACCCCCCAAACTCTGGATTCCTGTTATCATCCTTTGCCACCAGGGCAGCCCCAGTTTCTATTCCTTATTAACGTTCACTGTTTTGGTCTCAATCCACCGTTCATTCTTATGCGTATGAATGACTTTCACGGTTTCATTTACTCCCTTGTGTGTTCAGCAATGCAGACAAAAATCCCTGCTGCAATTAATCCAAGATCTAGTGGAGTTGTGGCGGACAAATATTTTCGGGACGCTCGACCCGCCATATGGATCATTGCGTTGGAAGCAGAAATTCTCCACCTCAGTGACTTCATCTGCGGCAAATGGGAGCAATAATCCCGACTGGTGAGAACCGTCGCGAAGAACTAAGGTGTGCGGAAGGAACGCACTTGGTAGAGTGCTTGGCAACAGGTGGCGTGGGCACGCGGCATCGCTGATGATACAGGAAGTGAGGGGAAGCCACGAACTGGAGCACGGCCCACTCTTTACTCCTTCCACAAACGTATGTTGCTCATTTAGGCCACAGCTGTACATTATATGGGTCTGAACAAATATATGACGACCTGTATCCAGCATTACGGTATGATGCAGAGTAGTTTCACTGCCCTCAAGATCCCCTGCGCTCCTCCCGCCCATTCCTCCCTCCCTGCGACTCCCTGGCAACCACTGATCATTTTACCGGTTTTGTCTTCTCCAGAATGTCATATAGTTAGAATCACTCCTTATGTAGCCTTTTCGGATTGGCTTCTTTCACCCGGTAACGTGCACCAAAGTTTCCTCCACGTCTTGTGGTGGCTTGATAGCTCGTTTCTTTTGATCACCGATGACACTCTACGGCAGAGAGAGAGAGAGAGAGAGGGAGACACAGAACCCGAAGCGGGCTCCATCCAGGCTCCGAGCTGTCAGCACAGAGCCGGACGCAGGGCTCGAACTCACGAACCGTGAGCTTATGACCTGAGCAGAAGTCACACGCTTAACCAACTGAGCCCCCCAGGTGCCTCTAACTGGAATTTTTAAAGCCAGTCTGTGAGGAGATAATAAAGGAAGCGAGTAGAGCAAAATCTAACTGCAGGGCCTAGGTAGTGGTGCCTGGGTGTATACTGTACAATTCTGGTTTTCTTCCGTAGGTTTGAAAATTTTTATAATAAGATGTTGAGGAAAAGTGAGACAAAGCAAAGCCAAACCCTCCGGAGGGTGTGTGTCTGTGTGTGTAAAACCGTACGGGGCCGTTCAGAGCAGTGATGGAGACGCCCGGCGCCTGGACCCTGGCTCCGCCTTCCAGCCAGAGCCAAGTCTTGAGCTCCCTTCTCCTGCTTTCTCCTGGCGGGAGGTCGATCACCACACCCGGAGGTGTCAGGGCTGTGGCAGGAACCTGTCCGGCGCCTGGCCTGGCTGGTCCTTCAATCACTGGGGTCACTTGCCCACTTGAGAACCACGGGGAACGTGTCATACTTCCGGTCACCAGCAGAGGGTGCATGTAAAGCAAACAAGCGCCCAAGGTTTCCAAACCGGGTCTTCCCCTTGGAATATTTTCCATAAAATGATGCAAAATTCAGCGTTTAAAGCAAGCTTCTCCACACTAGGGCCATGATCCCAGTCATACCGACGTGTTATTGATGGCTGCAGTGGGCTCCAAGAGCTCTCTCTCTCTCCCTTACTCGCCTGTGCCCGCCGGCCCCTGTACGACTCACCCTGTACTCCTTTGCAAGGATCTCCTTCATCAGCACCCCTGCCGGGCTGTGGGGGACCCTGGCACAGGGCCTCGGAGAGCACTCAGTGTGCAGCGGATGGACAGACATTACCTCCCATTTCTCACTTTATCTCCCTGCCCAAACGCGGCAGGACTGGCCATCTGGATGGGGCGTCTCTCCTCCATCGCCCGTACCCTCCCTCAGAGTGTGGCTTGTTCGGCCTGGCCAGCAACATTCCGAATTGGATCATCCTGGGAGGCAATGGGACCAGGTGTCCCCTGCGCTCCCCGTTACGGGTTGAATTGTGTGCCCCGCCCCCCACCCTCAGAAAGATATGTTAGAGTCCTCACCTCCAGTATTTCAGCCGTGGCCTTATTTGGAAATAAGGTTATTATAGATGTAATTAGTGAAGATAAGGTCACTGGGGTGGGACCTAATCCAATACGACCGGTACCCTTACAAAAAGGGGAAATTTGGGGCACCTGGCTGGCTCAGTCGGTTAAGCGTCAGACTCTTGATTTCAGCTCGGGTCATGATCTCACAGTTCGTGAGCCGGTTTCTGGCCGATACGATGTGAACGGAGGTGAAGTGTACGTTGTCTGTGGCTCGTCCTTGAGGGCCAGGACTGCCCCCTTTGCTCCCTTGTGGCCCAATGACACGGAGCAGCATCCCTGGACCACAGGACGGGAGCTGGCAGAGAAGTGACAGAGGGCTGCTCCGGGAGCGAGACGTAAACCGCTTTGCTGAAGCCACTCTTGTTTTGGGGTCTCTGTTACCAGAACCAGGAGAGCCGGACGCCCCGGCTTCAACCCCAGGCCCATCACTGCCTGTCCACGTGACCTTGAGCAAGACACTTAACATGTCTGTATCTCAGGCTCCTCTCCCAGAGCAGATGAGTAATAAAGATACCCACCCGCCACTAGCCGCCCCGAGGGTCAAATTGTTCTAAATGCCTCGCATATAGTGAGTGCTCCCGTTAGCTTTCATGGCAGCTGGACCCGGGATGCCGGTGACACACAGGCCCCCTCGGATGCCACTCTCTCTGGGATGGTCCTGGCAGGGCCACGTCTACACCTTCCCTGTACGGCCCCCACGGCTGCTCCGGGAACACACTTTCGGGGCAGAGCTGAACAGAAACCTCGTACACACACAGGGGAGGGGATTAACACGGTTTGCCCGCCGTGAAAAAGTGGAGTCGAAAGTCACTCCTGAAACACGGGGTGTATTTCTTTGTAATTAATGCGACTCTTCAAAAGGCTGCTGCGTTTTATGCCTGAACAATTCAGAAGACAAGGACCGTGTCTTTTTCACTATCGACTTCCTGTATTAAATTGCGTGAAATAACCTTCAGTGGGTTGATTTGTACAGACTTCTTCCATATATTTTTTCCTGAAAATAAAACAAGGAGAAAAAAAAAATCAGCAAATGCCTGGTTTCCTAAGGAATCTATCTTTTTTTAATATGTAAGGAAGAAGGCCACAGACTTTTTACCCGTGTGTTAGCCCCGGGATACGGAATACATTCCAGCCCGAGGAGCTCAAGGGTGAGGGAGGGATGTGTTTTATCATCGCCCTGCGGTTACACTGGGCACTGGCACCGGCATAGTCTGCAGAGGTCTTAGAATTAAATCTCTGTGGACGTGGCTGTAAAGACATCTGTTCATTCCATTCTGTGGGATCATCTCTACTGCTCCTCTGGGGCCCCCGGCGGAAGTGACCAGCCAGCAATGGACCCGTCAGGGAACAGACACCTGATTAGAGAAAATACTGGTGGGTCTCTTCTGAGTTCAAGCCAAGAGCTTGATGGACACACAAATAACTAAGTCAATAAGTAATGTGGGGTTTGGGGTGGGGTTGGGGGGATTTCAGAGAGGGTGGTGAGGGGCAGAGGGACAGGAAGAGAGTCTTAAGCAGGCTTCATGCCCAGCACAGAGCCCAACCCAGGGCTCGATCTCATGACTATGGGATCATGACCTGAGCTGAAGTTAAGAGTTGGATGCTTAACCGACTGAGCCACCCAGGTGCCCCAATACTGTGTTTTTTGTTTTGTTTTGTTTTTTTACCAAGTTCACCTACGGATCTGCATTAGACGTTTTCTGTCGCTGGCACTCTGAACTATGCGTGGGGTCTGTCAGTGTGAGGAAGAGACTCCAGCTTGCCCTTGGCAGCTGCAGCGGCTGGCACGGTCCCGCCCCGCCGCCGCCGCCGCCCCGCGCCGCCGGGGGGGCGGGGGCGGGGCGGCTCCCGAGAAAAGCCTTCTGACTCCCCCAGGCCCAAGAGCCCTCCCCCTGGGGCTCCCAGGGCCCTGGGTGTACCCCACGACCCGCACCCATGTCTGAGCCGCTGGGGGGCGCTATGCCCACATGCGCGCCTCCCACGGAGGGTCTCCTGGCCTGTGCTGGCACCAGTGGTTTCCAAGCACTTAATTGCCGGCTTGTAGCTTTCAGCCCCTCTCTCCCTTCTGCTTGAATTCTCTACCAGGAGGCTGTGCCCGAGCCCAAGTCACTGCTGCGAGGGGGCTTTGGTGAGATACACAGCCGGGGCCTGGGGCCCTTGCGTGGGAAAGACTCGGGGAGGTGGGCCCGCGCTGCCTGCCCGACCGTCCCCACAACTCAGCGGGATCTCGGCTCTGGTGCCCCCTGCCGGCCCCACCTGCTCTGCCGTCACCCCTCCCCCTCCCCCTGCCCCTGCCCCTGCCCCTTGGCCCAGGCCCTCACTGCGAGTGCTGCTCCTTGGCCAGGCTGAGGTTGGCGCAGTCCAGTGCCCGGCGTAGGTCCCGCTGCTGGCGTTTCTGCTGCCGCTCTACGAGCAGAGTGGAGCGAGCCCTCTGCACCCTCTGCCGGTCCCAGTCCCTGTCTCGCTGCCACTCTTCTTCCCGAAGCCGCTGGAGGGGGGAGAGGCGACTCACCACCACTGCCCCCCTCCCCCAGGAAGAGATCCAGGGGATCGCCCGGGGGAATCGGCCTCTCATTTCACAGATGGGGAAACTGAGGCTCAGAGAGGGGGCAGGCAGGTGAGCAACATCATGCAGGGCATCAGAGGAGACCAGCGCCACCTGCCAACCCAGGGCTCCGCGGGCAGGGCCTGCGTGCCTCCCGCCCTCCTACCCGGACGCTGCCAGTGGGGCGCACTGCTGAACACGGGGATCACCTGGTGGCTTCTAGAACCTACTGAAGCGGCAGCCCCACCCAAGGCCAGCGGGCTCAAGGCCTTGGGGGTGAATTTCTGCATCTCAGCTAACTCCTCATTGGCTTCCAGCCCCCTCTATAAAAACCACTGAGCCCTAGAAGAGGAAACCCCATCAATGCGGAGGGAAGGGGTCGCTCCCAGAAACGTGAGCCGTTCTACCGGCCGTCCTGAGTCTGAATTATTGGTCAGCTCAGCCTTCTCCTGCAAAAGGAAGCAAAAGCAGGTGACACCAGGTCTGAAGATGAACACACCTCCTTCCCTTCCGTGGGTTTTAGGGCGGGGCTTCTGCTCACCCACTGAGCAGAAGTAGAGTGTTCAGCGGTGCCCCCCCCCCCCGACCTGGGCCTGCCAGCCACCGGGTGCAGATGGGCTGGCAGAGGGCCTGGCCCCCCACCCAGGACCGAGAGGAAGCTGGTGCCCGGTTCTGCCGCCTACAGGGCAAGTCATTTTGCCTGTCTGAGCCTCAGTTTCCTCACCTGTAAAGTGAGGCTACTCACAGCTGCCCTGAGTCATAACACAAGGTGTTTTCGTCAAGAAATACAGGATGCTGGGGCGCCTGGGGGGCTCAGTTGGTTAAGCATCCGACTTCAGCTCAGGTCATGATCTCACGGTTCATGGGTTAGAGCCCCGCGTCGGGCTCTGTGCTGACAGCTGGGAGCCTGGAACCTGCTTGGGATTCTGTGTCTCCCTCTCTCTCTGCCCCCCCCCCCCCATACTCTCTCAAAAATGAATAAATGTTTAAAAAATTTTTTTAAAGAATACAGGATGCTGGAGCACCCTGGAGGGCTCAGTCGGTTAAATGTTTGACTCTTGATTTCAGCTCAGGTCATGATCTCAGGGTTTGTGGGTTCGAGCCCGGAGTTGGGCTCCGAGTTTACAGTACAGAGCCTGCTTGGGATTCTCTCTCTCCCCCTCTCTGCCCCTGCTCGCTCACTTTCTCTCTCTTTCTCTCTCTCTCAAGATAAATAAACTTGGGGAAAAAAAAGAATATGGAGTGCCATGGGGACCTGCTTGCCCTGGACTAAGAGACAGACAGCCTACCTAGTCTTTGACCTCAATTTTCCAAACTGTCTCCATGCAGAGGGGGGAAGTGCTCCGGAGGGCATACAGGGGTGCGGAAGGGGGCAGGCGGATTTCTGAGCGGTGAGGCCTGGTCTAGGCTTTTTTCCCCTTTGCGCTTTTCGGTCTTAATTTTCTACGAAGATTGAAAATCAGATAAAAATGCTGCTCTCAGGACAGGTGGCCGTCCCTCCTTGCCAGACAGTTGGGCTGAATTGTAGGAGTGAAGGACAGAGCAGGGCCTGGCAAGGGCGACCCACATTCCCTGCCAACCTCGGGGCTCTTCCCACCTTGGGCTACTTCCCTGCCTGCCCCCGGCTGTCCCCTCTCACGCAGGGGCTCTTTTCCCTCCCACACCGTTGACCCTGTGCGCCTGGACCAGAGCCAGCAGGGGAGCTCTTCTACCCGCTCCCCCTTTCCTGAGCCAGGCCGCTGCCCCTCCCCCAGTACCTGCCTGCTCAGGAGCTCACACTGACCGTGGCACCTGCCAGCACCCCACCTGGGGTGGTCATCTGCTGACCCTGGGGCAGCCCCGTCCACCCTTGCAGGCCTGAGAACTTCCTTCTTCCGGGCTTCTCCGTGATCCCCCCCTCCTCTCCAAAGACCCAGTGCCAGCCTATCAGCTGTCACCCCCTGGGCCCAGCCTACCAGTGATCCTCGAACTCCAGTGGGCATCAGAAGAACCCCTGGGGGGCTTTCCTGGCTCCAGACTGTGGGTCTGCCCCAGGATTTCTGGTTCAGAAGGTCTGGGGTGGGGCCTGAGAACCTGCATGTCTCCCAGGTTCCTAGGCAATGCCGATGTTGCCGGTCCAGAGACCCCCCCGCCCCCCTTCGAGAACATCTGCCCCCACCTTGTCATTACCAAGGATGTCAGCCTCCCTAGTGTCACCCCCAAGTGTCCCGTCCACCACCATTCTGATCTGCCTCTTCCACCCTCTCTCCAGCAGCCCGGTTTTTCGAGTCCTCGCCCCACCCCGGGACCTGCCATCCGCTGACCGCGCGCTTTCTACTGTCCTGTCTCTCCTGTGACTTCATTTCCTCCTTGTTCGGCCCGGCGTCCACGGCCCCCGGTGCCCTCGAAACTCTCACTTGGGTCAGACATGCCGGGCAGGTCTGTACAGCCAAGCGTGGCCGGGGAACGTCATCTGATTGCACTCACTGAGGACACTTCAAGTGCATGACCTCCAGGCCTGGCTCTGCCTGGCCATCCCTCCCCTTTCCCCTAGGCCATTCTTCTCCTGCTCTCCTAATGACCATTCTCAGTCCTCGAACCCCCAACCTGACCCCCTCACCCTCGGCCGCTGAGCTCCCTTCCTGTTTCCCCAGAAAACAGGGGTTCCGGAAGTGAAGCCCACCCCCACGGCCAAGGACGATCAGCCTGAGTTCCCACCCACCCCAAGCTTCAGCTAGTGCTCCCAGGGCCTTGTTCTCCTGCTGGGGACACGGGCTCCAGCAAGTCCCCTCTGACATCAATTTCCCCCTCTCTACTGCGTCGCCCTCGTGGCATAACAAGTATGCTGTTATTTCCATAATCAGAAAAAGCAAACGACTGTCCCCACCAGCTACCACCCCATTTCTCTGCTCCTTTTTCAGCAAAACGCTTTGAAAGCGGTGTCTGCATCGGTGGGTCTCCACTTCCTTCCTGCCTGTTACCTTTCCGTCCCCCCACGCCTCCTCCAAAGATGCTCCTGATAGAGTCCCCAGCGACTGCCCCCTGGATCCTGGGTTCAGCCAGCAGCCCAGCCACAGGGTTTGACCTGGGGGCTCCCCTTGCCGGGTCCCTCCTCCCCCTTTGGCTGCTCCTTCTCAGCCCCCCTCGCTCTCTATAAATGAAGGTGGGGGTGGGGGTTGTCCCATGATTCAGTCCTTAGTCCCCTTCTCCCTGTCTTCACTCATTCCCTGCGTGACCTTAGCCAGGTTCGCTGCTTTAAATACTCTCTGTGTGGCCATGCCTCTATGCTTATGTCTCCAGACCTTGTTCTGAACTCCCGACTATGTATCCAACTGCCTACTGGCTTTAGGTTGTGGCAGAAAATGTTACTTGCCTCCCGGTAGCCATTTTTCGGTCTTCCACAATAAAACCATTGCCGGCTACCTTGCCGCCTGAAATAAACACTACATTTCCCAGTTAGGGGCAACTTTGTGACTAAGTGTTATCCAGTGGAATTTAAGCGGAAGTGTCCTGTGAAACTTCCGAGAAATGTCCTTAGAGTGTTCTTCCTCATTCCTTTTCCTGCTAGATGGAATATGCATGTGAGGGCTGGGGCTCAAGCAGCCATCATGTACTAGGAGGAGGGAGCCAGTTGCCAAGGATGGCAGAATGTTAGTCAAGGACCCTGGAGTTGCCATGTGATGTCTATATGCCAGAGATAAAGTTCTGTTTTATTTAAGATGCTGTTAGTTAGGGTTTTCTGCCATGCTCAGGCATGGAATCCTCACAGATATAGATGTGTGACACACACTGCACACACATCACTTCCAAAATTGCGCTTGTGACTTCCATTCCCCTATCAACCTGCTCCTCTCGCCCTCTTCCTGTCTCTGTAAATGCCAACTCCATCCTTCTCATTGCCCAGGCCACAAGGCCTGGAGTAATCCTTAACTCCTCTGGGTCTCATATGCCCCACCCAACCCTTCAACCAATCCTGCTCACTCTACTTTCAAAATAGACCCAGAATCTGACCATTTCTCAGCACCCTGGCTGCCAGGGCCCTGGACCAGCCAACATCATCTCTCACCTTGACCGCTGCAACAGCCTCCGTAACAGGCCCTCTCCTCCCACCCCACCCCCACCCCAATAGAGCCTTTTCTCAAAACAGCAGCAAGAGGGATCCTGCCACACGTGTCACTCCTCTCAAAACCCTCCAGTGCTCCTCATCTCCATCACAGAAAAGCTCTTCCCCATGGGCTGCCAGGACCTTGACCTTCCCCCTCCCAGACCTCTTCCTCTCCCTCCCCCCTCATTCCTCCACAGCCCACCAGGCTCCCTGCTCTTCTCTACTCCTGCCTCAATGCCTTGTCCTTGCAGTTCATCCCCTGGTGGTCCTTCCTCCGATGTTTGCAATATTTGCAATACTCGCGTGGTGTACTGCCTCCCCTCCTTCAGGTCTTTGTTCCAATGTCACTTCCCAGCCCCCTGGGGACCCTTCTCAAACTCAGCACCTTCCATCCCCTTGGCCCAGCCTTACTTCCACCCCAGTACATATCTCCCTACCTCCCCAAACGTAAACCCCTTGAGAGCTGCTTCTAGGGACAAGTACAGCAGCGGTGAGAACTAGACGGCTGCAGGAAGGCAGTGGGTGTACAGGTCTGCGGCTGGGGGCTGGGGTGGGGGGTGGGCGGGCAGGTACCAGCTTCTCCTGGATTTGCTGCTTCTGAACCAGACGGATCTGCTCCAGCTGCTCCCGGGTCATGCCCTTCCAGCGGTCGGGGACCACGCGGTGGGGCCCGAAGGAGCTGGCTGCCTGCTGCGGGTTCTCAGAGAGCAGGTCCCCACGCAGCAGGTTGGAGATCTCGGCCAAGTCGTCTTCTTGTTCTTGTTTTTTCTCCCGAGTCTTCCTTTCCACTGACTCGGTGGCCTGCACAGGGGAGGACGGACAGTGAGGAAGATGCCCTGGGTGACCCCGTGGGGACTGAGGCAAGGCTGGCGCATCTCACTGGGGTCTCTTGAAGGAAGACAATGGTAAAGTGCGCCTGGGACAGGTGGGGCGGGGGCGGAGAGTCGGCAGGCGGGCGTGGGGAGGCCCTTGGACCCTGGCAGCCTGGGTGATGGGGGGCACGAGGGCTGGGCTGAGGGAGCCCCCCTCTGCACTGATTTGTCGAAGAGGGGAGCGGCCTCCCCAGGTTAGGCCGCCATCTCCCCCAGGGCAGGGCTGCGTGCCCCTCCCAGTGGCCCTGGTCCCCTTGGGTGGCCGCAGGCCACAGAGAACACCCGCCAGAGTGATTCACAACGGCGGCGACCCCACAAAGGTGAAAATGCTCTCGATGCACGTGGGCCACAGGCCCCGGGGACAGACAGATTCCGGGTCAGATCCCTGCTCCGGGGAGGGTGAGGAGTGGAGGGACAGGGCCCTGGCCATGTGACCGGAGCAAGCCACGCCCCCTCTCTGGGCTGCAGCCGGTTCTCGGCTCGGTGTTACCCGTTCTCTCTAGCAGCAAACAGGGCGCTGGGCAAGGTGCCCGCACGCCGCGCGCGCTCGCGAAAGGCCAGCTCGACGGCGTCACGGCAGCACAGGCTTTGCGGTGGGACGAGCCCGGACTCACGCACTGAGTTAATTAATTAAACAATTCGTTGTTTGTTTATCGACTAATCATACCCCTCTGGCCGGGGAAGGTAGTTGGAGGACAGTGCGCCAAACGGGCCAACACGTTGCGTGTATTCACTCGTTTAATCCCACGACGACCTCACGAGCACGTGTGACAGTCATTGCCGCTGGTCACAAACTATCTCCCGAGCTCCTCCTGCAAGGTGGCGCAGCCGTACTTCCCCACCTGCTTAGAGCGCTCGTGGCCACGTGGCTTCCTCGGGCCCGTGAAGTGTGAGCAGAGGTGACTGTCGTGGCAGGATGAGGCGGGGTTGGGGGGGTGGGGGGAGGGACAGGACAGGACACGTTCCTTCTCTTGTGCTGCTGCGGTTGGGGGCCCTGGGCTTCGGGGTGAGGGTGACGAGGAGCAGAGCCCTCAGCCGACCTGCAGGCTTGGCTCCCTCTGACTGGTACTGCTGGGTGCTACCATTATCCCCACTCTACAGATGGTAAAACGGAGGCACTGAGCCGGGTCGTCCCAAGGCGGCAGACGAGAGCCCGGCCTGGCGCCTGCACAGTCGGGGTCCGGCGTCTGCCACCGGCCCTGAACCGCAGCACGTGTCCAGGGAAAGGAGCAGCCCTCTCCTCCCAGGGGGACACACTCCAGTGGGGGCCTCCTCTGCAGAGCCGGCCCGGCCCGCCCGCAAGTGGCTCCGGAGGACGGTTACCTGGGCCTCTGCCTGGATGCTCCGGCCTGTTTCCACCTAGGAGCAGAGCCGCAAAAGCCGACGGCGGCTTCCCAGGGCGCCGGGGGCGTGGCCTGGCGGCGTGGCCTGGCAGCGCGCACGCGCGGAGCTGGGGGACCCCGAGAGGGCTGGCGCGGTGCAGGCGCTCGCCGCGGAGGTTACCGAGTGAGAGCGTCTACGAGTGCGGCGAAACGGTTTCTGAGAAGGCCAAGGGCGGTCCCCCAGCGGGAGGGCTCGCTAAATGATCCGCTGAGCCACTGAGCGAGCGACCAAATGAATGGCCGGAAGAGCGGCCACAATGCACAGCACCCGGCGCCCGGCACCCAGCACCCGGCACCCAGTACGCAGCACACAGTACATGGCATATAGCACCCGGCACACAGTACACAGCATCCAGCACCAAGCACCCAGCACACGGCACCCAGCACCCAGTACACAGCACCCAGCTCACAGCACACAGTACACAGAATCCAGCACCCAGTACACAGCACCCAGCACACAGTACACGGCACACAGCTCACAGCACAGAATATACAGCACACAGCACCAAGCACCCAGCACCCAATACACAACACCCAGCTCACAGCACACAGTACACAGAACCCAGCACCCAGCACACAGTACCCAGCACACAGCACCCAGCTCACAGCACCCAGCTCACGGCACAGAGTACCCAGCACACAGTACACAAAAGCCCCATCTACCATGAATTCTCTGCGGGCCCTGGAGCAGGTGACCTCTCCTCTTGGGCATCGTCTGCACACAAGGCAAGGACGAGAGGATGTCTAAGATGGCCTTCGGTCTCCCGGCTGGTGCCTCGGTCTGTCCTTGGTCTCCCCCCATCCCCGGCAGTTTGTCCTCCTCGGTCCCCGCCCCACCCCCAACCGCTGCCCCGCTGAAAACCAACATTCTCTCTGGTCTCTGGTCTCTGGTCCCGCCTCTCCCGGAGGTTTTGATTACATAAATGTCCCACCAGCAGGACATTTTTGAGCTTGTGTTCCAATATATTTATCTCACAGCGTGACACCATTAGACCACACATGAACAGTGCTTCATAATACACATGCACACATGGGAGTTAAACACGGCGAGGCTGCAAAAACACTGCAGCAGAGTTCTCCTATCCCTTCGTGTTCTCCAGCTCATCGTCCCGCCTGCCCTACTCCACAGACCACAGTTCTGGGCAACCAGTTCACCGGATAAATGAATCCAGGGCGGCCCCCATCCCACCCAGGAAGTAGAACTGCATTTGTAAAGAAGTCTGGAGCCGGGGTCTGATTAACTGGAGGAATAGAGAGCTTGAAGCAAGGCCAGTGAGGGAACGGGCGGAGCAAAAGGCCGGAGGTGGAGAGTTTGGGAGGAGGTCCCGCAGAGTTTAGAGAGGAGGGAGGTGTCAGGAGCCCCCGATCATCAACATGATGATTGTTGCCCTTAGTGAGTGCCAGGACCTGGTCTTGATGAGGATGAGCTCTGAGAGGTGACAAAGAAGTGAGACCAAGACAGGATGCCAGAGCAGTGCTGGATGGCCGTTTAGGTAGATGTCACTGTCCTCGGTGTTAGAGAAGAATCTGAGGTTTGCAGAGTTTAGACAAGCCCACCGCGCCCTCCCTCCCCCCCATCCCCAGGCTCCCAAGCTCAGGAGCAGGGGCGGGGGCGCACTCAATCTGTACCAGGGCAGCCCCCGGGAGGGCCATGTGGGTTGTGTGGTGTGAGTCGGTGAAGGGCTGAGCTTGGGACTTGGGACGGGGAGACTGGGGCGTCCCGGGAGCTACCTGGTTCCTGTTGAATTCTTTCACAGCTGCACAAACCGCCTTTCTGGTGGCACTTTCCAGATTCTGTAAATGCTTGGCCGTTTCATCAAACTGCAGCCTTGTCTTGAAGTAGAGGTCCTCTGAAAGGAAACGAAACGCAGTCACACCTCGCTTGCCCGCCCAGAGCTCCTTCCCAGGTGCGCAGAGCACCCTGTGGAGTGTCCAGCCACGCGTCTCTTCTTATCCTGCCCTCACCCAGAGAGAGGGGATGCTCAAGGCTGCTGGGACACTTAGATGAGGTGATTCAGGTAGAGCTCTTGGGTGCAGGCCCCAAGGGTCAGCATCACTACCGGGGATCAGTAAGGTCTGCTGGCGATTGGTGATGTCTGCTGGGGATGGGTAAATTCTGCTGGGAATTGGTGATGTCTGCTGTGGTCCTGGGCTGGGGCCCTCATCCATCTTCTTACAAGGACAAGGGAGCTCTGCTGTGGGGAGCAGATGGGGCTCCGCAGAGGAGGGGTGTCAGAGTGGGGAGATATTCGTGCAGTGACACTAGGACTTTTCCAGGCCAATGAGCAGCGGCAGCATCAGAAGAGGTTAACGTGGATCATGCAAACAACAAAAGGTAAAGATCTGGACTCAGATAAGAGCAGGCTCCTATCCCAGCCCAGACACTCCCTAGCTCTGCAAACCTGAACTATTACCCAACCTTTCCGAGCCTCCAGCCCTCATCTGGGAAGCAGGACAACTCCTACGTTGCAGGGTTGTTACTTTAAACAAACAAACAAAAAGCCACCGATCCAAAGGTCCTTCACGTGGTGTTTGTGCCCCATGGCATCCTCCTGATGTCCAAACACAAGAGCAAACTCCAGCCGAGAGGCAGGGGCCTCCGTTCCACTTGAGCTTCACCTGTCTTCCCCTCCTTCATTCATCCTTTCAGTTGACACAGTGCCACGAGGAGGTACACACAGGACTGTGCCCTTTGCAGGGCACAAAGTGTGTAGTGACGGGCAAGACAGAAAGGGTTCTTCCTGCCTTTGGCGAACTTACTGTCTGGGCGATGAGCCAGGTCACAAACAGATGAACCCCGAAAGAGATCTATGAATGCACACTGTGGAAGTGCTGTAGGGGGAAAGGGTCCTCCTGGGAGGGGACACGCTGGGAATACCTGGCTCAGGCAGACGGGGATGGGGAGGAAGAGAGGAAGAGCGCTTCTCTGGGAGGAAGTGACCTTGGAGCTGAGGTCTGGAAGGACAAGAAGCTGGGTGGAGAGCAGGTGCAACGGGTCTGACATGAACAAGGATCTGTTGGCACCCAGAAGTGAAAGGAAGCCAAGTGGCTGGAACACAGTGAGTGGGGTAGGGGGCATAAGGTGACACAGGGCACGCAGGGCCCTGTAGGCTACAGAGGATTTTGCATTTTGTTCCAGATGTAAGAGGGAAGCCATTGGAGGGTTTTAAGCTGGGATGGAGGGAGTAGGGGTGACATTGTTTAAAAATCAGCACGCTGACTGCTATGTTGAGAAGAGACCAGAAAGGACAAGAAAGAACATGAAGGACTATTAGAAAGCCCTTGGTGTGGTCCCTCCAGGTGATTAAAAAAAAAAAAAAAAGAAGGTGGTGACTCGTATCACTGTGGTGACAGCAGGGATGGGAGAAGCGGGCCATTCAAGATACGTGCAGGAGGTGGAAGGACAGGAACTGAGGATGGCCTGAGAACAAGGGTGGCTCAAGGAGGACTCCTGGGTTTGTGACTTGACTAGGGAAGGAGGTGTCATTGGTAGAGGGGAGGATGGCGGGGGGAGGAGCAGAGCCAGAGGGAAGTTCAGGGTTACTCTCCAGGATGTTCTGAAGCGCCTGGGGAGATGTCCAGGGGGCAGTTCAAGGACCAAGTCCAGGGAGATGTCCAGGGGGCAGTTCAAGGACCAAGTCCAAGGCTGAGACAAAGTCTCTTAGCCAGAGATGGACATGTGGAGAGCCTGGGAGGTGGCGGAGATCTTGAAAGCCCTACGGATGCATTGTTCAACAGATATCTATGTGCCGAGAACGAAAGACAGAGCAGTGACTAAGACAGAGCAAATCTCCTGCCTTCAACGAGCCTGGGATAGGATGCTGGGGAGAGGGATGACAAATAAATAATCATACAGTATGTCAGTGATGGGGCTTTGCAGAAAAATACAGCAAGGAAAGGGATACAAGAGTATGGGCATGGGGGAGGGTACGGGGTTGCAATTTAAAATAGTGGTCAGGGGAGAGACCTCTCTGGTAAGATGGCATTTCATCAAAGACCCAAAGAAGGATAAGGGGCAAGCCATGCAGATATATGGGGAAATGTTTCCAGGCAGAGGAAACAGTAGGTGCAAAGGCCCTGAGGCAGAAGTGAGCCTGACACACTTAACATTCTGAGTGAGGAAGCCAGTGTGGCGAGGATGAAATGAATGAAAGGCAGCGTGGTAGGGGATCATTCCAGACTACGAAAACCTTCCCGGTCCCTGAGATGAATCTGGTGCTTATTCTGAGTAAAATGAGAAGCTATTGGAAGGGTGTGCGCAAAAGATCTAGCTTAATTTTTAGCAGGATCATCCTGGTCACTGGGTTGAGAAGCAACTATAGAGGGCCAAGGGCAGAAGCAGGGAGACCACCTGCAGGCGATTGCAATAATCGCACTGAGAGATGCTGACAGCTTAGCCCAGAGGGGTAAGAGTGGAGGTGGAGGGAGGCGGTTGTGATTTGGGGTGATTTGCTGCTGGACTGGACATGGCGTTTGAGACAAAGGAAGGAGTCAAGACGCCTTGGGGTTGGGGCTTGCGCAACTGGAACAATGGAGTTCCCCTTGACGGGGGTGGCGGTTCACGGGGGGCAGGCCAGGGTGTCTTGTGTTGACTCTGATAGGTTCGTTAGACACCCAAGAGCAGATAAACGTCCAGAGGTGACAGGACGTGTGGGCTGAGAATCAGGGAAGAATCCAGGCTGGAAGGGTCCGTTTGGGGGAAAGATGGCCTATCGGTGGTATCTAAACCCACGAGACTATTTGAGAGCGCCAAGAGACCGAGTGTGGTTGGGGCAGGCAGGGCGCAGAGGGCACTGGTAAGCAACAACACCCGGAGGTTGGTTCGGAAGGGGAGGAGAAACCAACCAGGGGGCCGGGGGATGAGAGCGGGTCCTGGAAGCTGGCGGAGGAAGTATTTCCAGGAGGAAGAGATGACCAGCTGTGGCACAGGCCGCAGATGAAGGAGCCGCCTGAAAACGGAGCTCGGATGCGGAAGCTTGGCGGTCACCTTGGGGCGCCCGGATGGCTCCGTCGGTTAGGCGTCCGCCTTCGGCTCAGGTCACGATCTCGCCGTTCGTGAGCTCGAGCCCCGCGTCAGGCTTTGCTGCTGCCAGTTGGGAGCCTGGAGCCCCTTTCAGGTTCTGCGTCTCCCTCTCTCTCCCTTCCTCCCCCACTCGCACTCTTTCTCTCAAAAATAAATAAAAATTACCAAAAAAAAAAATTTTTTTTTGAAACAAAAAAAAAGAAAACACCGGTCACCTTAGTGCAGGCAGAGTTTACTGGACTTGTCGCAACTGCCTCAGGGATGGAGGTTGTTCCAGGTCTTGGTGGCTTTGCCAGCGGGGTTCCCTGGGCCTGGAGGGTCCTGGTGAGGACACGTGACCCCTGCGCCCTAGGCCTCACCCCGCCGCCCCCCCGTTCCCTGCGAGAACTTCTAACACAGCCCCCAGAAGACCCAACTGGACCTGTGTATTTCCCACTGTCTTCCCAGCAGACTGGGCACCTCCTTTGGGCAGGGTGGGTTTTGCACCTGCACCTGGCTGGAGCCCAGGGGGAGCACAGAGTTGCAAGCTCAGAAATGAAGACGTTTACATCCTGGAACACAGGCTCTTTCCCCGGCGGCCAACACAGCACAGTGGTAGGACATGAAACACCAAACAGAGCAGGGGGAAACCCACGGGTTTGATTGGTCGGAGAAAGTATTGGGACCGGTTTGTCCCTTTGGGCTTCATTACCTGCACATCTTTGGTGGGCACGGGCACTCTCCCGTTCCCGCTGCTGTTGTAAGGACCATTCTCGGTTTTGTTCCTCCTGGAATTTCTTCCTCTCGTGGAAGTTTAAATCCTCTCCCATGAATTTCTGCATTCCCGATACTGTATTCCGAATATCGTTATCTGACTGCCTGGCTGGGAGATCTTTCCTAAGGGCTAGGGGGTCAGATAGGTCAAATTCACGGCGAGTTTCTGGCTTCTGGAAGGTCTGCTGGAAGTCATTGATGGCTTTACAGAGGCTTTTCCTATCTCTCCTTTCTTGGCCTTCTAATATGCATGTGATTTTGTCATTTTGCCTCATTTCAGCAGCTAGAAGAGACACAGCATACCCATAAGATTAAGGTTCAGAGAAAAAATAAATTTGAATCCACCTTAAAAAATAATTTCTAGTGATTCTAAAAGTAATATAAGCCTTCACAAGAGTAACACAACCATTAAAGAATATTTAAAAAAATTTTTTTAATGTTTATTTATTTATTTATTTATTATTATTTTTTTAAACATTTATTTATTTTTGAGACAGAGAGAGACAGAGCGTGAACGGGGGGAGGGCCAGAGAGAGAGGGAGACACAGAATCTGAAGCAGGCTCCAGGCTCTGAGCTGTCAGCACAGAGCCCGACGCGGGGCTCGAACTCACGGACCGTGAGATCGTGACCTGAGCGAAGTCGGACGCTCAACCGACTGAGCCACCCAGGCGCCCCTGTTTATTTATTTTTTTAACCTTTATTTATTTTTGAGACAGAGAGAGACAGAGTATGAAGGGGGGAGGGTCAGAGAGAGGGAGACACAGAATCCGAAACAGGCTCCAGGCTGTGAGCTGTCAGCACAGAGCCCGACGTGGGGCTCGAACTCACAGACCGTGAGATCATGACCTGAGCCGAAGTCGGCCGCTTAACTGACTGGGCCACCCAGGCGCCCCTAATGTTTATTTTTGAAAGAGAGAGAGAGAGCAAGCGAGCGAGCAAGCGGGGAAGGGGCAGAGAGAGAGGGAGACACAGAATCTGAAGAAGGCTTCAGGCTCCGAGCTGTCAGCACAGAGCTCAACGTGGGGCTCGAACTCACAAACCACAAGATCATGATCTGAGCTGAAGTTGGACACTTAACTGACTGAGCCACCCAGGCGCCCCAAAATTAGTATTCTGAATATACAAAGAGTACCTACAAATCAGTTTAAAAAACCAAACAACCAAAGACAATAATGGGTCAAGAATAGTAACAGGAAAATCACTATAAAGAAACCTGAATGGGGGTGCCTGGGTCAGTTGGGCGACCAACATCGGCTCAGGTCATGATCTCCCCGCTCGTGGGTTCAAGCCCTACGTCAGGCTCTGTGCTGCAGCTCACAGCCTGGAGCCTGCTTTGGATTCTGTGTCTCCCTCTCTCTCTGCCCCTCTCCCCCCATTGGTGATCTCTCTCTCTCTCTCTCAAAAATAAATAAACATTAAAAAGAAATTAAAAAAGAAAGAAACCCAAATGATCAAGAAGTTGTGAAAAGATGGTTGACCTTACAAGATGGGAAACATCTAATAAGTTGGCAAAATATTTACAATGCTAATAATAGAGTATATTAGTAAGAACATTAGTAAGGACAGTAAGGAAACAAGATTTCTCATTTACTGCTTGTGGGAATGTAACTTGGTGCACTTATAACTTTGGAAAGCAACTTGCCAATATCCCATAAACCTGAAAACATGCATACCCCGATACGTATTAGTTCCTCTTCTATGGTATCTCTCACCTGCATACACTAGGGACATAATGCCTGGATAGGCATGCAGCGGGGTTTGGAAAAAAATCTGCCCATAGGGGAATGAATAAAAAAATTGCAGTTAATTCATTGTTGTAAGTTTTATTTATCTTGTAACAATTATTTTGTTCAAGTTTATTTATTTATTTATTTAGAGTGTGCGAGCGGGAAAAGGGCGGGGGGGGGGAGAGAGAGAGAGAGAGAGAGAAAGAGAGAGAGAGAATCTCAAGCAGGCCCCACGCCCAGTGAGGAGCCCAATGTGGGGCTCGATCCCACAAACTGTGAGATCATGACCTGAGCCAAAATCAAGAGTCCCATGCTTAACCGACTGAACCACCTAGGTGCCCCAGGTTTGAATTATTTTTAAACATGACAAAGGTAAACTGCTTAGGAACTAGAGAATGGTACAAAGAAAAAAATATATTTCCCTTGTATTCCATCATCCCAACATCACCACTGCTGACATTTTGGTCTATTTCCTTTCTGTCTTTTTCTAAGCTTATTTCTTTTTATATATTTTAACATTTAACGGATAGCCCATGGTATATACAATTTTGCATCCTGCTTCTTCCTATTTAAAAAATCCTTATAGTGCTTTAAGAAGAAATAAGCTGGACTTGTTGCACCTGATGTGGGAAAGTGAATTCTATTTGGAATTTTTAAAAAAATGTTTATTATTTTGTAAGAGAGAGAGCTCGCGCACAGGTGGGGCAGCGGCAGAGAGGGAGAGATAATCTTAAGCAGGCCCCACACTCAGCAAGGAGCCCCACTCAGGGCTCTATCCCATGACCCATGAGATCGTGACCTGAGTCAAAATCAAGAATCAGACACTTAACCTACTGAGCCACCCAGGCGCCCCTGTTTGGAATTATCTCAGAGCTCCGACAGTATCTTATCTTGCTCTGAGTCACCACAGCCAGTGTGAACCAAGAGTGTCCCTGTGTCCTCTAGTGCAAGCAGCTGTCCCCAGGAGAAGGTCTGAAACTTTTTGGCAGAGAATGGTGTGTGTGTTTAAGGGTGTTCATGTCCGGTTTTTATTTTTATTTTTATTTTTTTTTTTATTTTTTTTTCAACGTTTTTTATTTATTTTTGGGACAGAGAGAGACAGAGCATGAACGGGGGAGGGGCAGAGAGAGAGGGAGACACAGAATCGGAAACAGGCTCCAGGCTCCGAGCCATCAGCCCAGAGCCTGACGCGGGGCTCGAACTCACGGACCGCGAGATCGTGACCTGGCTGAAGTCGGACGCTTAACCGACTGCGCCACCCAGGCGCCCCCATGTCCGGTTTTTAAAGAAAACTGAGAACAGGGACGCCTGGGCGCATCAGTCGGTTAAGCGTCCGAACTTCGGCTCAGGTCATGATCTCACAGTTTGTGAGTTCCAGCCCCGCATCGGGCTCTGTGCTGACAGCTCAGAGAGTGGAGCCTGCTTGGGATTCTGCGCGTGTGTGTGTCTCTCTCTGTGTCCCCCCGGCTCGCGCACACTCTCTCTTTCTCTCAAAAATAAACATAAAATTTTATGTTCTCGGGGTTATGTTCTCGGGTTTATGGTCCCGAGAACAATGTACATTTACCCTCACAATACATTTCCTACACCCCCCATAGAATTCAATAGCTGTTTTCCTGTCGAGAGAGAAAGAATCAGCACATTAACTGAGCACAAACAATGGTGAAATTTTAAAAGGATGAAGAGTGTGAAAATGACAAGCTTTTACACTTTTGAAGCAATGACGACCGGAGTCTGGAGTTATACAGACTGCTAGCTGTATATATAGAAGGACTGCTAGCTAGGCTTCAAGAGATGCTCACCAAAAGTTTCATGTCTAGCTTTTTCGGTTGCTTCTTTTATCTTCTGGTCATGAACCTGAGCATCCCAGGCGTCTGTGTCTCCCTGGAAATGGAAAACAAAGGGAGTGGAGTTACAGCCAGATAATTTTAGTCGGTTGATAACAATCCTACTGATCTTTTTTTAAGCCTTGTTCCACTGTTAACTAGTTGTCTTAGGGAAACATCAGTTCTTTTCATACCTTTTCAGCCTGTCCCCAGAGCCTCCTTCTCCCTTTCTCTTAGTTGATAGATATCTGCAGAACAGGGCAACTCCTCCTCTCCCAGTCTCAGTCTGTGCACCCCTGACACCCCATGCTCCCCTCCCTCACAGCCCCGATTCCACTGCTGTGAGCAGTGGACCATTTTTGTTTTTTGTACTATAGTTAATTTTTTTTTTAGAGTATGTTATTTATTTATTTACGTAAATTCAAGTTAGTTAACATACAGTGCAGTATTGGTTTCAGGAACAGAACCCAGTACTTTATTACTTACATACAACACCCAGTGCGGATCCCAAGTGCACTCACTCCTTAATGCTCATCACCCATGTAGCCCAGCTCCGCCCCCCCCCGCCCCCAACCTCCGGTTTGTTTTCCGTATTTATAATTTTTTAGTGTTTATTTTTGAGAGAGAGACAGACAGACAGAGCGTGAGTGGGGGAGGGGCAGAGAGCGAGGGAGACACAGAATCTGAAGCAGGCTTCAGGCTCTGAGCTGTCAGCACAGAGCCCAATGCGGGGCTCGAACCCACAAACTGTGAGATCATGACCTGAGCCGAAGTGCGAGGCTCAACCGACGAGCCACCTAGGCGGCCCTGTCTTCTGTATTTAAGAGTCTCTCACGGTTTGCTAATGTGACCGTTTTAATGCCAGAGTCCATCGGGCCATGAACTCTGCAAGGTCAGGCAGGGATTGCCATATTCCTCATTTCCTGTGCCCAGCTGAGGCGTGCCACAAAATAGTAACTCGCTGGCATGTGTCAAATGAATAGACTGGAAGGAACCCCTGGTGGTGCAGAAAATCCGGTTCAGAGAAACGAGACCCGCCTTCCGGTCTCTGACTAGCCACTCACTGCAGGCAAGCTCCGTCCCTGCTGCAGGACTCAGTTTGCCTGTCCTGCAAGTGAGAGGGTAGGTGTCTGCGAAGGTCTTCCCCCTCTTCGGCAGTTAACACGACGAGCCGGTGCCCTTTGCGGCCGTGCTTGGATCAGCAGTTTCGCTGCAAGGGCTCATCCCTGGTCTCCGCCGCCCGCCCCTCGCTGCCCCCCCCCCATTCCCACCGGGTAGAGGGCCTCACCCCGATGATCCTGTTCCTGGCGTTGAAGATCCGTTTCTGCCGGCACAGCTCCCCGTGCCTCCTCTTGGCCAGGCTTAAGTACCGCTCCAGGTCTCTGGGCTGCGCTATCTCCATGGCTGGAAATCGCGAAGAAACCCTGAGGGGGTTTTAAGACAAACGAGATGAAAAAGGAAAGACAACCAAAATAAACCAAGCTGCAGCCTAAGCCAGGCTGGCTCCCTAGGAGGCCGGGCGGGTGCGAATCGAGCCGGCTCCGCAAGCTTGCAGTCCTTCTGCGACCTCTCCAAGCCCCGCTCTCCTCGGAAACGTAAACAACCCGGTTGCTTGGGAACCGCGCGGCGCTCGCCGGAGTCTCGCTCTCCTCTCGCGAGATGCCGCAAGCACTTCCCGCGCTTTCCCGCCGGCGTGTGCGGACGCCGCTTGAGGCGCGGAGGGCGCAGCCATGGGCCGTTTGGAGGTGTTGCTCGTGGAGAACTTTAAGTCGTGGCGGGGGCGCCAGGTCATCGGCCCCTTCAGGAGGTTCACCTGCATCATCGGCCCCAACGGCTCCGGTAACTGGGACCCTGAACGCCTCTGCCCTCCCGGGCCACCCAGAACCCATTTTGCCCGAGGGGACGTGACGTGAGGGCGGCCTAGCGGGCTGGACGCGGGCGGGTTACGGCCGTGGGCCTCCGCCAACCCCCCGGGCGCCCACCCCCCGCCCTGAGCCGCCGGGTGCCCACCTTCACCCTCGTCCTCCACCCCCAGCCCCCCGCCCCCACCCCCACACGGTGCCCCCGGCCCCCGCCGCCACGTGCCCGCCCGCAGCCCCCGGCCCTCCGCCAACCCCGCGGGCGCCAACCCCCGCCCTGCGTCCCCCGCCGCCAGGTGCCCACCTTGGCTCTCGTCCTCCACCCCGACCCGACCTCCACCCCCCCCC